ATTAATGGCTACGTGATCTATCTTTATTGATTCCATAATGATGATTACAAAGATCAGCAGCCAAGTTCTAAACCTTCTCTTATTTTTTAGAGAAAGATTCTCCAGTTCCTCTGTGTTAAGAGAGGAGGAAAAGTCCTTTCCCCTCATTCTCTTACCTAGTGTGTGTGTATATATATATATATATATATATATAATAGATATTTCCCTTTACCCAACCTTAGCCAGGATACCCTAATCTGCCAATCGCACTTTAGGTCGACCTCCCTAAGTGCCATGGCGTGTACTTCGCCATACGGGCTTTCAGATGGTTCGACCTCGGCCGTGGCCGAGATGCTCGTCGTTATGGTGCCTTATGAATACAACCACTGCTTACTCGACCACTCGCCGTTCCTTTTTGTGCCGATTCTGGTGTGGTCAGATTTCGACCCATACAAGTTTCTGAACAGGGGAAAGAGAAGAAAGAGCCATATTTCATGCAACTTGATAGCGTTGAAGATAAAGTGGAAACAATATAATCTTCCTTTTTATAAAGATCGGAAATTAATTTGAGTTGACTAAGAAAAAAGAAACTTTGATCACCTATTAGTTTTGTGTTTTGACGTCCAAATTCAAAGTTAACGGCATTTAGTCTTTCATTTGATCACCTATTATTTTCTTTAGCTCAAGGTTTACTATTCTTATTTATTCAGTAAAATTAAAAATAGAAAGAAAAAAAGAAGAAGTTGGCCGGTGCCCGTGGGTTATAGAAATTTAGGGGGGACAGGCAGTTTTTGCTTTTTGTTCTGCAAAGTAAGCATTATTGGGAGCACGCAGTAGCAGTTATCATTGACTTCGTCACGTCTGCCAATTCTTGTTTCCTTAGGTATGGTGATCCCACTGTCAAGTGATGTATATTAATTGGAATGGAGTATACCTATGAGAAATAACTGTCTCAACCGATAGCGATACTGACACTACATGCATACTACAGTAGAATCCCAAAATTTTAAGGTTACAGGTTCGAGCAGTAGAAACCGTTACTAATGCTTGCATTAAGGTAGGTTGTCTACATTACACCCCTTGAGGTGCGACCCTTTCGTAGATCCTGTGTAAATACGGGATGTTTTGTGCATCGAGTGTTTTTTTTTTTTGGGCATTTTTTAACTTTTATGCCTTAAATCTGATGAAAAATATAAAATTCGATCAAGATTACCATGGAAGGACACCTGTAAGACAATAAGAAGGATAGATGACTTTGAGGCAATTAATCCAAGTTGAGTGACCATCTAACCAATCAACTCCTTAGATTTTGCGGATGCCCATCATGTCGATATATTTTCATTTTTTCAGAAAATTTTAGAGAGGCTAGGGTTGGTTACATTAAAGTCCTTGACTTGTCACTGTTATGGGGTTATAAATAAGAAAAGGACGGGTATAATCATTTACTGGAGTACCCGTTTTAAGAGTAAAAGGTGTAAGATATAAGTCTAAGTTCTATATATAGTAAGTTGTTGTGGTGTAGTGGTTATTTATTCTGCTTTTAGTCGCAGACTTCACTTGTGTGATTACACCGAGTATGTTGTTGTTTTTGACTTGTTACTGTGGTCTTCGTTCTATATATACACAGATAGTTATAAGTTAATTACAGATAAATTTTTATATGTTTATATATAAAAGATGATAATGCATGGCTCTGCTTGAAGTAGCTGCAGTTAGCACAGTCCATTATTTGTTCTGTTGGCCTTTAGGAAAACAGACTGTCTGGGATTTCCGGGTCCATTTATGATTGCTTATTTGTTATTATGTGAGTAATATCTTTATCTGCAACTCACATATGGCGACAGTTTGAACTTTCTTTTCTGAACCCACAATTTATTTCCCTGCCTTCTTTTGTATACATACATAAGCATAATCAATTTCAGCAAGAATATGCAACAATCTATACCTCAAATCCTCAATTCCAAGTAAGTTGGATCGGCATCATCGGCTGTATGAATCTTCATCGTTCATGTCACTGCATTTAAGTCCGTCTCTATATATCTAAATTTATATTGTGAGCAGAGGCGGATTCAGGATTTAGACCCTACGGGTTCAATTTTTAATATTTTTAGCATTGGCCCTAGTATATTTTTTAAAGTTGTGGGTTCATATCTACTATTTTTGTGATTTTAATGAATTTTTACATATAAATTTTTACTTTGTATCAACAGTTATGGGTTCAATTGAACCCGTACCTAATGCACTACATCCGTCCCTGATTGTGAGGATATTGTTATGTCTAGGAAGAGGCAAACCTGAAAATAAAGAAGATAAAGAACACCAAATTTTTACGTGGAAAACCCTTCAAATCGAAGGTAAAAACCACGGGATCACAAAGATCCAAAAAGCTCCACTATAACAATAAGAGGGTTACAAAAGTTCTCCAAATTGGCTACACAACAAGTGCAAAATATGGAGCAACAATAGCAACAACAAATCAATCGAAGAAAGAGGAGAATCTACAAAAACGAAGCTGCTGTTCGAGGCTCGAAATCAGATGCTACGGGCCTCCAAATCCGATCTACACCATTTAAATCCAAGACCAAGATGTTACGAACACTAAGTCAAAATTTCAGCCCGATCCAACGGTTAACGAATCGGAAAACGTAATTTGAAGTTGGCTGGTCGGAATAAAAATCTGCAGCAAAACAAATACTTTTTCTCTCTCTTCTCTCTTGATGAAAGCTCTCTCAAAAACCACTCTTATGTTCTTAAGTCTTTCAAAGACTTGTACCAATGATCATAGAATAATTCTCCAAGGTTATCCTATTTATAGATAATGAGTGGTGCTTTCTCTTAAAGCCAAAACCCACTCAAAATAGGAATAAGCACCGAATCCAATTCCGAATAGGAATGGAAACCAAAAGAGAATATTATAGGATTAGGCCATTGGGCCTTTGACTGGACAACATGGGCATGTGCTCAATAGATATCATCATAAATTGATTAATTTTATGTTTGTAGTTGTCAACCTACCGCAATTCTCATCCTTTATCCGGACTTGGGACTGGCACTGCGAGCAAGTCTATCTAAAGTTCTAAACATTTTCAAATAACCAAAATACTCTCAGAAGACTGTCTTCAATTCTGAGGAAAGTTAACTAACATAACAGGTTTTAATTCACAGTAGTTTCCAGGACCTGGTTCAAGTAAGAACATTGCTTTGTTGCTTTTTCAATACCCAATGGAGGGTTCCAAAATGTTAGGTTGTTTAGCCGCTCACTATAACATACAACAACAAAAAAAACAACAACAACGTGATATACCTAGTATTATCCCACACCATGAGGTCTTGATGTGGAGTTTGAGGACGGTAGTGTGTACACAGACCTAGCTTACCCCTACCTTGTGAAGATAGATAGGCTCCTCACTATAACATAAGAACAAATAAGTAAGGATCAGCTTTTTGACCGCTATAGTTGCAGCCAGCTACAGTACTTTTCCAGCAGGCTCCAACTCTCCCCGAAAACCTTTTCTTAACGGACTTATATACATTGACAATATAAAGAATATTTCAAAAGTTTGATTAAATCGATTACTATAGAAGACTGCTGCTGTGGCTGGAAAGTTAGTTTCTCTGTCCAAAGCCTGTTGCATTAAGATCCCGCTATGCGCGGGGTCCGGGAAAGGGCCGGACGGCCGGACCATAAAGGTCTATTTTACGCAGCCTTACCCTACATTTCTGCAAGAGGCTGTTTTACGGCTCGAACCAATAACTTCCTGGTCACATGGCAATAACTTTACCCGTTATGCCAAGGCTAGCTCCCCATACCAACTTTAGCTTCTCTGTCTGTGGAGTTATATTCTTTCTACCACAAAATAAAATACTACTACAATTTAAATTAAGTGTGTAAGATATGAAGAAGAGTACAAAAGCTGATAATTAAATACATATACGTTGGTTTAAGTTAGTAGACTCCAAATTATATTGCTGCATGCTATCTCACTACAAAATACGTGTGGTCCTCTCTGTGGAAAAGCTTTTAAGAACTTGTATGGTTGGTCCCTCCTCTACAAGTGTAGCTGTTCTACTATCGATTATCTCATCCACCTAATGAACTACAATATCATGCACCACAAACTTAATTTGGCTTCCCACTTGCTACAGTTTTATCTAAATAGTTTTGAGTTTGACCTAAAATAATATAAAGAAATTTTTACAATATTAAAAAAGATATTTATAGGTAACCCTTCGTAAAAAAGCTAGTGAAATTTGTAATCTTGAAATAAGACATTATTTTACAATAGATGAAAATGTATGCATTCTTTGAACTATTGGTGTATATAAGTTAAACTCGTCGATTTTTCTTTTTGGCACTAATTTATAAAGCTAGTGATATTTGTAATCTTGAAATAAGACATTATTTTACAACGGTTGAAAGTGTAAACATTCTTTGAAAGTGTAAACATTCTTTGAACTGTATGTGTATATAAGTTGAACACACCGGTTTTTCATATTACATTGAATTATTTATTGTTTTAGTATCTCTTCATCATGGTGTAACTATTCATGCCATTCGTCTCAATTATTAGTGGAATTACTATAACAAATAGCAGAAACAGACTTTAATTACTTTAAAGAGGACAGATATGCAATAAAAACCTAGTTGATTAGATACTAACTTTTCACTAGCTAGTTGGAAAAAGAGGAAGAGAAAAGCAATAACTCCTTCTTCTTTTTCCAACTCTAGGGTGGTCCTTATGAAGTTAACAGCCTATCTTACTTATGTAGCATCATAATTAACAGTAATTAACCAGCAAACTAACTACTTCATTATACAAAAATTGTTCATTATGTAGTCTAAACTTGTTTAAACCTTATTAAGCCTATCAAATCTACGTTCCACGTGTCAATTTGTATCGATAACACGTGGCTACGAATTCGCCATACCTTTTTCTTTTCCTTCCCTTGGCTTATGGCATGGTATATAAGATTCTATATTTACATTTCTCCTTTTCCAAAACTTTATCTTATATGTTTATTCTTTGCACATGAGTTAGGTTTCTCATCAAAATTTCTTTACTCAGTACTCATCTTGATACAAGGCAGGAGGAACAAGAGGAAATTAAGGAGACAAGTTAATTCTTTTGAAAAGGAGGGCTACTCCTTGATCCAATACTAATAATCGAAAAGGTTCACAGCAAGTTCAGTCTATAGTGAGACGGGAACATTTCTGCCGGAGGAAGACAGTTAAAAAAGTATTCACTACTGCTTACGTCACGCTTTTTCACCTGTCTTGCTGAGAACAGCTGCAAATTCTGATCTGAGTTTAATCTGTGACCTTTATCCAATTCAAAATGCTTATGCAAAACACTGGTGGTAATAACCATTGTACATCTCAGGGAAGAATCTTTTCTTCTCCAAATATATATTGGTAAGTGACCAAACCAAGATTTTGTTTTTTCCCTAATTATCTGCTGAGGTTCAATTTTAATTTATGGATGGAAAATTCAAGTTGCATAAACACCAAGTCCTACCTAATTGTCTTCATAGTATGCTGCTAGAATTGTTAACAAGAAATCTCACACTAATAAATTTCTCTTGATTAATTACCTCTTTTGTTACATTTTTTGTTGAAGCATAACTTGCAATATGTTAAAGAATCATCCTAGCAAATCAAGACTTCTTCATTTAGGTCTTTTTACTACACCTCTAATTTAGCCTACTTTAATTTTTCCTCTTCTCTATTTTGTTGGTTTTCTGTAGATCATCAGTAATGACAAAAGCAAGTTGATCATGAATCCAAGTAGAAACAATTCTCAGGCTAATAAGCAAGAAGCAGGCCATGATCATGACACCATCAAGAGTAAAATCTCGAGGACTCCATCATCAAGTTCAAGGCAGTCATGGGCAGGCTTTAAAAATCCAAGAATTGTACGCGTTTCGCGTTCATTTGGAGGGAAAGATAGGCATAGTAAAGTTTGCACTATAAGGGGATTAAGAGACAGAAGAATAAGACTTTCAGTGCCTACTGCAATTCAATTGTATGATCTTCAAGATAGACTTGGACTCAGCCAACCTAGCAAAGTTATGGACTGGTTACTTGATGCTACTAAACATGAAATTGATAAACTTCCACCTTTACAAATGCCACCATCATCTCTTTCTCACTTCTTCAATAATAGTACAAATACATATATGAGAGATGGACCAAATCAAGAATTGTTGTCTCTCAAGGAATCTAACCATTTTGATGTTACTACACCATTTGGAAAAGACAAATGGATTGCCTCAAATGAGCAAGAAAATCAGGAGGGTACTAATATTGGAGGTTATGTTCCACTATTTTCATCTCAAAATATTTCTTCTTTACCTGCAGGCATGTTAAACAGCAATATACCCTTCAGATATAACTACCATAATTCGGAATTACCTAATTCAAATTTGTCTTTAACTCCATTTGGAAATAATAACCTCTCCTTTTCATCCCAAACAGAAGACAATCTTCCTATATCAATGTCTTTTCCTTCAGGCTCTCATCATTTATATTTCTGTCCAACTGCTACAACATTGTCATCTTCTGTTCCAGCTCCATTTATGAGTACCACTAATTCACAGCTCAACCACTTCCATTCTTTAAACTCAAGTACTAATTCACAACATGTTCTTCCAAATCCGCTCGCGCCAACTCTTCAGTTAATCAGTTCCCCAGTAAAAACTTCCAAGACCAATAATGACCATCCTAAGAGGATTAACTCACAAGATAATGGTGATCAACACAACCAGTAATTACCACATAAAGAAGGCAGTGGTTCTTATGTGGTTCTACACCTTGTCCTGGATACAGCAAATATAAATTTACTACATTCTTGCTTCTTTACAGATATACAGCAATATCGTAAGGTACATTCTGTCTCTTTTATGTTTATAAATTTTTCTCTCTTTATCTGCGGAACATAATATTGATATTGGACTAGTTGTTACCACAATATGTGGTAATTCATTTTTTTAAGGCACAAGCAATGTAAGTACTTTTTATTTAATAACCTAACGCGTAAACCAAGTTACCGTTGCACACAGAATGCAAAGACTACGGCAACATAAAACACTAGTATATCTTGCAGGGGCGAATGCAGCATTAAGGTACCAAGTTTATTTAAATCCAATAGTTGTACGTGGTACATAAATTTATTTGTAAAATCTATTATAAGTGCAACAAGTAATAAAAGATAAGAATGCATAACTTTGCAAATATAATGGTTCAGTCTTAAGAATCTTAAGGCTGAGCCATAAAGTTTAAATCTTATGCCTATCTTATTATTTTTTCCTTTCTTTTTCTAAAATTGGTGGGCAAGATGGGCATATCCGATGCCTTTCCTTGAGCTTTTATTAAGTACCTTTTTCTTGTTCTTACTTTCTTTCTTTGGTTTACTTTTTCTAATTTCTAAGTCTAACTCTAACACATTAAAATCTATTCTCCCTTTGTCATCGTAAAATTTTATGTAATTAAATTAAATGTATGTATATTAAAATTAGTAATAGTTGAGGATGTAGTATATTGTCAGTCGGATAACTGACAACGTTTTCGACACGAAGTATAGATAAATATGTATAAAAACGTAACAGGTCAAGCAGTAAGAACCTAAAGGTTGAATCCGTCAAATACATATCCTTGTAATAGTGCATCCATCCTTCTCGAAATGTTGGATCCGACTTTGCACACGTGGAACTATTGAATCATATGACATTTTGAGCTTGAGCGCACACACATATATTTATTTATGGAGGGGTGCATGGGTTCACATGAAACCAGGAACCTGCATAGATACGCCCCTACACGTCTGGTATTTTATAAAGGAAAAACAGTAAAACATAGTTGAGACATTTTCAACTCCATCACACTGTACTGCGTGCATACAACTGAAGTACACAACTCATAAACTCTAAGTTGCAAAGCACTAAAAATGCCATTAATTAGTTCTCCATTGCCATTCCATCAAGAGGAATGAAACAAGGAACAACAGATAAAATGCGGCATAACTCGACTAAAGAGTCTGCACATTTGGAGACAGCAAAACTTTAAATAGGATTGAAAAACTGTCTCTAAAATTTTATTAATCATAGGGCTTTAAATAGCCAAATAAATAAAGTAGTAGACTCCCCCTACAACTAAATTACTAAACTCTTACTATAATTAAAATTTAACTAAATTACTAAACTCTTACTATAATTAAAATTTTGAATCTTCTAGCAGACTCCTACTAAAACTAAACAACTAATTATTCTAGAAAACAGTAGCAGTAACAGATGCAAAATCCAACAAGATCCCAGGTTTGAGTGTCAACGTCGAAACTTCACAACATTGCCTCCCTTCGTCCTCGCCGCCTTCATGTGAACAACATTGTCCCCCTAAAACATAGATCTTCCTATCGATAGCGACGACATAGGGTTCGTGTATTTCCCACGAGGAAGGTTTGGGCTAGTGAGGTTGTGCCTATACAATATCATAGAGGAGCGGTAGTGGCGTGCTTTATGATCAATGATTCTGCCAACCCAGAACATGTGTTCACCCATAACGGCCCAAGCTCCTGCCCTTTCGAAGGCAATTTGGGCAACCGGAAAAATTTGCTCCGGCAAGGATTCTAAATCAATACAATACCACAAATCCATGGACATATATCAAAGGCTGCGGTTGCCTGAGTGGCGTCGCCATTGAAGTTGAAACAGTGAGATACCAACAAAGAAAAAAAAGTAATCCTGTGGCTTTTACGTGAATTGCGAAGAAATTGAAACAGCCCACTCTTGAGGTCTAGGGTTTTCCAGTGTTGTGTTGTTCTATAGGATATTTAGGTCTACGGCCTTTAAGAATGGGTGGCGTATATCATACTCCCTCCGTAATTTTAGCAACACACTCTCCTTATTAATACTTTCCAAAAAGAATGACGCAACAACAACAACAACAATAACATACCCACTTTTATCCCACATTATAGGGCAAAAAAGAATGACGCATTTCGATAATGGAAAATAATTTATCTTTAAAGTTTTTATTTTACCTATTTTACATTTAATGATAAGCTTTTATAGTCATACAAATATCATGGCCCCACAAACTTTTTGCCTCTTAAACTTTTAGGACCATATATTTAAAAAATCATCTTTTTTTGCTTAAACTTTGTCCCAAATTAAATTATATAATCTAAATTGAAACGGAGGAAGTATGTATTTATAAAGTTTGTAGCTTCTTTCTTTATTTTCTTACTATATTTTTTGCTTTTTTTTTTCATCTGTCTTTGAATAAACAAAATGCTATGAAAAGACATATAAACAATATCTTCACTAGCTAATTAGCTAATCTTAGAAAATAAAAAGTAGTACGATAGAGCTAATTGAGCTACCGTGATTACTCGAATTGGGTATATTTAGTTCTTGAATTAAGATATATAACATATCAATAAGAAGCTCATCCGTTGTATTTTACTTTGACGGACCAATTATACATAGTAACACATAAACCAGATACTTCCCCAAAAACGCCCCTACACGTCTGGTATCTTATAAAGGAAAAACAGTAACAACTTTGTTCACCTTTAAAATTGGATAACAATTAAACTTATAATATGGTTTTAAGGACACGTGATTTCACCTAATACCAATTGATAAATGTAAAGATTAGTAATAGAAATTAACAATAAGATAAAGCAAACCAGTGTTTGAATGGAATTCAGCCCTCGAGCTCGGATACCCTCAAGCTGATTGGTATAAGAACAGTTAAAATTATGAGCAAGCCGATGAACAAGAGTATAAATTAAAATGAAAGTGTTATATTGCTTTGATATCTCAGAGAGTAAGTGCCCTACAAATGATTGGGACTCCTCTTTATATAGTAGATGAATCCTAGTTATGGTTTAACTCTAATTACAGAAGGAAATCCCATGATCTCCGACCAGTCATGGATATCTCGCCTTTATGTTATTATGCTACCTTCGATCTTACTTGATGGCTGTCTCATTTGGTCTCAATCACTACCGGCCTCGATCTTTACTGGTACCTCGAATCTCGAACTCGGTGCCTTGTCCTCGTGCCTCGATCCGATATATTACGGGAATGATCTTCGATCCTTCACACTGGTCTCGATCAGTAAAATCGGGTGGGCCCGATTTTAAAGCGTATACAGATAGCCCCCTCATTTTTTGGAGTGTAATGACAAGAAACGAATTGAGCCTTCGATCCTAGACCCGTCATGACGTCATTCCCATAACGTAAGCGGTAGATGTGACCGAAATGTCCCGTCGGTGTAGTTCCCCAGGCATTTAATGCATGCCAGTTGATGGTCGGCCACTAGTGGTTGTTGATACCTATTTTTTCCTAAAATATTTTTAGTTGCATTCTGAATTGGTTCAATTAATCTCTTCGCTTCTTTAAATAAGTTTTCAAATACTGCCTTAAATTAGTACTGCTAGAAAGCATGCCTATAGGATCTCAAGTTATCCGTTTAAAATTAATCACTATTTTACTACGTTCCTAATCAATGTAGATATCATGCTCTTAGGACATCACTGTTATGCGCTTAGGCAAGCCTGTAGAGCGATTAAAATCCTGCAACTATAAAATCGCGCCTTGAGACTGCTCACATTTGATAGGTCTAAAATCAGTAGGATTCAGTTCTTTGACACTTTAGCCTCAACTCAGTATTGTATAATCTTTGCTCACCTAAGATATCATGTTCTGGGGTTTTCTCTTAGAATACCTGAAATAATTGTTTGAGACGTGCATTTATTTGTCCTGCTTGTGGAGGTAAAATGTGAGCCTTTATTTGTTCCTCCTTAAGTGCAATCCTATTTATTTTTGATTGACGCCTAGATTTTTCTCCTTTAAATACCTTAGGATGGTCTAGAACTACCTAAAACTAGAGGTCCTAAATACCTCCAGAACCACGAGGAAGGGACGGGTAGTGCACATATAGGACATCTATCAAGGTTATTAGGATGCTTTAGGCTATGACCAAGGGGAGGGAATTGGGTATAAAGGATATGATGACTACGCGCTAATGTCACGTGTAGCCCCTCATTGAGGAGTGATTACCGGGCATTGTGAAGGGTGATCCTGTAGGCTAACCAACCTAGGACCCCCTTTCTAACTCCCGTTGTTTAAATGAATTTACTTTTCTTTATATATGTGCAACCTGTTCAAACCCTTTTCCTTGTTCCATTACTTGAATGTCAAAACATGCCTTTACTTGCAAGTACGTGGTAAAACTGTTAAATCTGTTTATTTGACTAATTCACATGAATATAAGTTCGGCCGGGACCCACTTTATGGACTGCGAGGGGTGCCTAACACCTTCCCCTCAAGGTTATTTCGAGCCCTTACCCTAAATCTCTGGTAATGCAGAACTAGTCCATGAGTTAACTGCTCAAGGTGCCCTAACGCACCATAATTCGTTAGGTGGAGACTCTTCAAATACCCAATTCCCTAAAGGAAAAGAGTTGTTCCCCCATGAAATATCGAAACCCGGACCTTTCTCCACGAGGAAGAAAAAAGGGGGCGCGACAGCATGGCGACTCTGCTGGGGATATTTAGGCTCTTACCATAACGAACTTATTTTTCCGTGAATTAGTCCAAACATGCTCTATCCCACATACCCTTTCCCTTATTTGAATCTAACTGTTTATTTTATGAGCATTCATGATTTCTTTATTTCCCTGAAACTGATATGTCTCTTTGTTTTCTTCTTCTGTAATCGTCTTTCAATTATTTAAATACTGCATTTATTATTTCCTTACGTGCGAATACTTGAAAACATGCTGTTATTGTTGCATTTACTCCACATCATATTCTACTCGTGCGGATAAAAATCCTGTAGCAACGCTTGATGAGTGGTTGCGCTCTTCCAATTTGTTACCCTTAAATTCGGAAAGGCTTATTTCCGGTAAAACTAGTCGATCAGCGATGCAGTCGACGGTTCCGTGCCTTTCCCCCTCAAGTTGTCCGCTTGAGGGTACCGGTCTAGACCCCCATAGTAACCTT